CAAATTTTCATGATATTTCTCTTATTTTTATATATTTTTCTACTTTTTAGCATGACACTTATTTGGTTGCAGTCTCTAGTTCTATCTTAAAGTACATACCTCAATCAGATGGTATGCCTCTAGGTAAGTCAATTGAAAAGACATCTTGATAGTCACATATGAATTGTTCTATTCCTTCTATTCCTTTGACTTTTTTTTTCACCATTGAGATAAGATTTGAAACAACTATATATATAAGTTGCTTATGCCGTATTTGCTTCTTCAGAAAGGTTATTCTTACCTATAAGTTCTTAGCCAAAGATTGTTTTGTTATCCCACTTAATGCAAGGGCATGAAGAATCACCATGCATCTTCTATCTTTGAAAGAGATTGTCCTTATTAGTCAATCAACATGTTTATTTTCTACCTCTAGCCATGACATACCAAAGATAACATCATATCCAAGCTTTGTTACTCTAAACTTATCTCTCAAGGCATAGGTGTCATTTAGCCTTAAGATTTCTTCTTCACTTATCTTGTTCAACGCGTTTTCTTAGTCATTTCTAAGTATCTTCTTTGATAACTATTATTTTAATCCCAAGGTCGTTGGCAATTATTGTCAAGATGCAAATTTTTATAGAGCTACAATGTACAAGCACTCAACATGGCTATTCTCTTAGTCGATCTTTCTCACAGTTGTTCAAGGCATTGTTGTTTGTCTTTGAGAAACAACAATTATCTCTAGTACTGGCCTTCAATGCCTTTTTTAGAAAGCTCCATATTCTTACTCTACTTCTTCATTAACTTGGTGGCCTTCAAGTTTATAAATCCATTGTGATTTGTTGATGCTTGAACTTTGATATTTTGGACAATATCTAATTTGATGGTTTGGCTTTGATAATAAAAGTACAATCTCTTTTGCGCTAATAATTGACATCTCTGCAGTATCAATGGTCCTTGTAAAGTATCAATCTCTATTAGCATTGGTTGTTGTCCCATAGTATTAGCTAGTGGCATAAGATTCCATACTATAAGTTGTACTCTATAATTTTTGAAATTTATACCCTCAATTTTTTCTTCAATGATAACTACCTCTTTAAATATTTGTAGATTCTTTAATTCTACTTCTTACTGGACCACATGTTTCAACCCTCATATAAATCAATTTATTATCTCTACCTCTAAAACATTCTCAATTTAAAAACATATAAACTTAAATCGAGAGACATAATCTTGTACCAACTTGAATTGTGTAAGGTTAGCCAACTATTTGTATGCTAACTTCTTTACAGTAATGGATGGAAATTGATTCCTAAGCTAGATCATAAACTCTTCTAAATCACCAAATTTGCCTTGAGCTCAATAGTTTTGAATTTAATATTGCCACCAAATAGATGCTACACCTTTCAAATAACTAGAAATATATATAATTTCTTTATTAGTCTTTACTCTAGATAATTAGAAGTACTATTACATGCTGAAGAGCCATTAGCATACATCTTCTTACCTTGAGGTCCTTCAGTATGTATTGGGCTTACTCAATTTCAACCTAACAAATATCAATTTCTTTGTTTTAGAAGCTTCTATTTGCCCTTGTAGAATAGCTATCTGGCATAGGAGGTATTGTATTTGAGTCTCCATTTGGGATTGCTCCACTATATCTCTTATGCTGCAATGTCTTTATTAAACCTTTGCTATTGTAATGCCTTCTTTCCTTCCAATTGACTTCTTAAAGTAGCTCATTGTAGCCCCAAAATAATACCTGATGTGATCACAACAATTGACTTCCAATTAAATGGTGGCTTTCAACATACTACCAAAGAATAGACTAACACTCGCTCTAATACCAATGAAATAGGATCAAATTTTCTAAGAACTAAAATCTTATCAAATCTATAACAAAAAAGATCTCGATACAACATAAGACCAAGCATATTAAAACAAAACTGAAAGTAATTAAACGAAATAGAATATGAAAGACAAGAGTTAATAAAAAAAAATAGAACCAAAAAAAACCAAATAAAATCAAACAAAATGGAACAAGAAAAATAAACTTTACTGAGAGAAAGATTTTGAAGCCATATTTGACCAAATGCCCAAATAGCCTTAGCTAGTCTTATTTATACTTTATCCAACTATCTTAGAACTTTTTAGAATTTTACTAATGGTAGGTTCTACTAAGATAACTACCTTTATAGAAGATTTTAGAAGTAGGTCCTACCATAATAACCACCCTAAGCCTTTTTAGAAGGTTCTGTAGTGGATCATACATAAACCACCACCTTAACCTTAATTCTAGAAACTTCTCAAACATAACCTCAACTACATATTTCTATATATAAATAATACAAATATCCTATCCATGCCCTATTATACTTCACTTTATTAATATGAGCCATGAAGCCTTCTCATTTGTTCTATCTTGCAAGTGGAGAATTTCTTCCTTGTGAAGATGATATTGGATAAGTTCTTGCTCTAATATATATTATAAAGAATCTTCTATGCTTCTACTGGTCTTTTGTAAGAAATAATATGAAAAAAATTAGCTTCATCCAAATTGGTGAAAATTATGCCAAAAACCTTTTTTTCACATCTTTTAAAGTCTTTTTTCTAACAGTGAAAAACTTATCATAACAAGGAATAAATTATAATCAGGAGAGTCCATTCCACAATGTAGTGAAAAACTTATCATAATAAGGAATAAATTATAATCATGAGAGTCCATTCCACAATGTAGCAGAGAGTGAGTTCTAAAGCATAAATTAATATCAAGCATTCACCTTAAAAGAACATTTTAGCAAGCTAATCCAATCACAAATCCTGATTCTTGTGCAAAAATCACAAGTATGAATCTACCAATTCTCCATTGTGAAACTTGCAGGGAAAACTCAACAAACCCTGAAGCAAAAGAGAAGGCCACATACATTTCTTGTTAATGCCACAAGAAATGACAAAAACGAAGCAAATCCGAAACACACACACACCGAAATCTCATTAATATAAGAAGATAGGATCTAATCATGGCGACATAGAATCAACCATGCAAACAATCTCAATAACAAAATTCCGAAACTCGTCCGTCTCTAGTCATAATAAGAATAAACCAAACTAGACGTGCCTCTTCCAATCCAATAATCGTCCCCTATTAAAATGACATTGAACTCAAAGTAATCTTTCAACGTAGAACCAAATCGACTGTTATCAGAAAAAATGGACAGGAAGACACACGAGACGCAATAAGGAAAATTTTACAATGCTAAAGACCAGCTTCGCAACATGATTGCGGACTTGCTCGTCTGACCACACACGCACATTCGCCGCTTGAAGCCCTGAAATGCGATCTCTCGAGCAACATGGGAAGACTCCTAGTCCCCACAAACAAGGGTCAAAGCAATGTTCCCGACCTTTGTTCCCGATCTTTCATACTCATAATGCACTTACTCGTAATATACTAGCTTCACAATTCTTATTCTTTTCACATATTATTTATTTAAATTCTCTCAAAGATCTTCTTTGATATTCTTATACTGTGAAAATCCTCCTTACTGAAGAGCAAAAGATTAATCTCTTGGGGATGGATCACCGTGGATCTGTAAATTGAGCCGCGAACTGACGCATCGTGACGCGTCCCTAAAACCGTGCGTCATTTGGTGACTGGAGCGGAAGTCGAGGCGACTAGAGTCCCCCCCCCCCCCCCCCAACCAAACTCCTGCAGAAACTTACAAGATTCCGCCTGTATGTACAACAAGATTTGTGTCAAAATTAGAGCGGAAGCATTGAATGGTGCAACATCGAGAATTGCCCTAAACCCTGACGCCAGATTCAGATTCTGGAGTGGAGATGTGATCTCTGGCCATCAGCCAATTTCATTTCTAATGTCAGATTTGCACATGTCAGTGATTGCAACACGACAGATTCTGGGTTAACGCCTGCACAAGCTATTTACTAGCAGTGGCTATGGAATTGTATTCATGTGGATATTGTCAATGTCTGACGAGCTTCCAGCTTTAGAAGTCTACGTTTTCGTTACTATGTGACAGCTTTGTGGTTGGAACGTGACAGAATTGTGTGTAGATGTCCATGAGCTCTTCACTGTTGGTTTCATACTATACATGGAAGATTTTGTAATTATAGTCAATTTCTTGAGATTGTTTAGGGTCAAACCTTTGTGCGGCGGGGTTTGAAATGAAGATACTTGGATTCTCGTTGATATGTGTCATGCTGTTGTCCTTGGAGGGGTTTGCACATGGAGCGGCGAGGAAAAGATCGCTCCAAAGTCTGAAGTTTCAAGCATTGAATTTCTCTCCGGAGAGTTCTGATTGGGATCGAGTTCGCGATCGGCATCTGATCGGGTCAGGTTTAGGTTCAGGGTTTAGGTGAACCCTGAACCTAAACCTGAACCAATTCCCTCTTTGGACCTCGAGCAGTGATTGGCTAGTCATGGTGTAAGGACTTACGGACTATCAGGTGAATCCATGAGTCGTGAAATTACTCTGAATCCGTCACAAAGTTGGACAATGTTCTATTATTTTTAAAACATTTATCCAGGCAGATTGAGAATTCGTCACCTACCTGTGTTTCTCAGCTCTTTTTAGACTTTCAATCTCACGTACAGCTTTGGAGCTGTTGCCAATCCTTTTTGACTCCCCGATCACACTTTTGTCGTTTAAAGCACATGCATCTGTGGGCTTCATTCATCCTTTCATCCAACCGAATTCGCGTTTCCTACAACTCATACCTACTCTCCTGAAGCTCCGAGACAAGCACTAAAGCAAAGGATCAATTCAGGCCATTGTGAGAGGTGTTGACTCCAAGTTGAACGTCGCAACCGCAGCCACTCTAGACCGAAAAGAAAGTTTTCTCTGCAAAAGTTGACAGAAAAACACCAACAGTTCACCTCAATCAGTCAAGTCTAATTTGGAAAGGGAAAATACGGGTAGGTGGGATTGAAGTCAATGAAATCAGCTATCGTTATCGTCGCATTTTTCATGTATCGTGGTGGGTTTGAATATTTCATGTATCGCTATCGTGGCATCTCATGTACCGGTACCGTAGCTTTGATTGCTTTCAGTGAAGGCCATTAACCCAATTCTATAAGTTCCGACCTGAAGTCGCTGCGAGGACCGTCACGACGAGTGCATAACTCTCGCTCTGATTTGAGCAGGGACCGTTCGCTTCATGTATTCAGACAGTTGAAGGGGATTCTAGTTGTCGACCCTCTTCGAATCTCCAATCAAGGACAGACGAATCCGACCTCACAGTGGAGATCCAGCTCGATCTACAGCACACGTCGCTGAACCAAAACTGTAAGTATCACTCAAGGCTGCAGAACCCCCCGCAGCACACTCCAGGAAGAAGTTTTCAAAGGATTGTGTGCTGTTGATTTGGTGTAGAGGAGCTGCTGCTGCAGCAGCAGCAGCGATCATGTTGAGCGTGGTGGAGTTTGTGTCCTCGGCCGTCGAGGAGTTTTCTTCGCATGTCGCAAAGCATTTGATTGGCTGCCTCGGTATCTCCGTCGTCGAGGGATACTATGATCTAGCAAAAGGTCATTCCTCCTCATCTTGTACAAAATTCCCTCTTTGAAATGAAGGAAACGCCGAGTCTGTGCCTTGACACCAACATCGTTGCGCTTCATGGTTTTGCATTGAATTCCAGATTTGCTCTGCAGATTGCGAAGCGGTTAGATCTCCACAATTGCTGATACAAGAGCAGATTTGAAGGAAGTGTGTGCACTAAAACGGTGTCAAAATTGAAGCTTTGGTTTGCGACTTCACAGCTTGTTCATGAATGTTTAGTTATTGTAGGTCAAACGTAGAGGTGTGATGGGGATTGTGCACTTACTTGTTATTCCAATGGTGGAGTGGATTTAAAAAGATAATTGGCTAATTTTTATTTTTACTTTTATTTTATTTTGTTCTCACATACATGATGCTGGATGACTCTATGGAGTTCTTCAAGTTGGCCTAAGAAGTTACCACTAATTTATTTGTTACATGAAACAAACAGATAAAATTAGAAGAATGATAGAATTTTTTGAAAGATATGTAGCATGCTTATGTGTACACATAATTTAATTTCTAAAAAGTCAATTTGTTATTGAATTTAATAAGTTTTTATATTTTTAACAATAATTTTATCAATTGTAAATTTGATAGTATTAATTGCAAATAAATTTGATTGTGAAGATGTGGATGTATATGAAATTGGTTATAAATATCTATTGTAGAATTAAATATTCTTGCAGATATTTTTGATATGATTAATCAACTTTAGAGGTTGTCATGTAATGTGGTATTGGGTCTCAAATCATATCAAATGAATGTAGTATAATTTAGTTTAGAAAGTTTTCATCTACTTAGCATTTTTTCTTAGTTAATCTTGTTAGTGTCAACTAGGATTGAAAGATTTAGGTGGAAAAATCCTCTTGACTTAACAATCTTTTCAAGTCAAATCTTTTGAGGGATTTTGTAAATAATAGCTTATGTTTGTAAGATTTTACTTGACTATGGTAATTTAGCCATTAAATAAAGTTTTAGATTTTTTCTATATATTGTCTTAGACATACATATTTACTTACATAAGAAGTGCTAGGTAGAAGGTAAATATAGGTAGATTTGGTATATCTTCTAGCAAAGCTTCTTAAAAGCTTCATAGACATGTATTTGACTTTATATATGTTTATAATTGATTGGTAGATTAGAAACTTGGCCAACAAATTAGCTATGTATTGTACGTGTGGATAGCTTATAGTACAAGCTAACCATGTGGTGTACATATAGAAAACTTGCCTTATAAGTTAAGATATGTGTCTCACAAATTGCACATATATTGGAGGTTGTATAGAATATTGTTATATAACTCATAATAAGATAATATATATGGAAGGAAGAATAAAGCCTTCTTCAGTCTTGTTAATGCCTTTTTAATCTTTAGTCATATTTCAAGACTTTCTAGGCTTCTTATCTTTAGCAATGGCCATTCTAGTTTAATATTATACCATCTTGAAGTGATTCTCGAGTCTTTTTGAGTGATATAAGAATATCTTGATTTTTTAGTTTGTAAAGATTCATATCTTTGATATTTCGATAAGAGTGCTAATTTATTATTTATTATTTTATTTTTAGAAGTGAGTGGATTATTCTACTTCTATTGTTGTATATTAATTATATAATTTATCCATATTTAAACTAAAATTTAGTTTTTAAAACACTGAGTTTTTTCTTTAAAGAAGAGGATTATCTTTCTTTATAAAAATTTCTATTTGATATTAGTGGTTGTAGATTACCTTCATCTAATTTGACTTCTTGATTTATTTAAGTTATCTATGGAGGAAAAAATTATGGATGCTATTCATGGCAAAAGTAAAAATAGATATATAACTATTGTTGATATCCACAAGTTTGTCAATACTTTTAGGATAGAACTCTCACATATTTCTACTATGAATTATAGATGTATTATTTTTAAATCTATAGAAAAAGCTAATAATGAAGTTCAAAAACTATGCCAAGTTGTGTAATTGAGAGAAGCAAGTAGATTAAGTTCAAAATCAAATCTAAAAAGCCTTGCTACTATAAGTATAAAGGAGACAATGATAAGTATATTAGAAAAGTTCAATAGAACAAGAGTAAAGTTTCAAGGATTTTTACAATAAATGAAGCTCTATCTAAGATTGCATTATTTCCAATATCTTGATGGAATTACTTAAGTCAGATTCATAAGTACATTTTTATCTACGAATTTACTTTCTTGATTTGCACCTTTGATAGAAAAAGATTCACAACTATTTTATGATTTGAATTCATTCTTAGAAGTGTTTATAGCCATATTTAGAGAAAGTAATTGAATAAAAAAAAAAAAATGACCAAATTTATATCTTTACAATAAAGATTATGTATGAGTCATTGAATTGATTTACTTGGTTAATTAATCTAAAAAATAAACTTATAATACTTAAAATCATTGATTTTCTAAGTTAATAGTAGAATTTTTAAGAAAAAATAAAAAATAGATTATTAATAGTAGATGTGCAGCCTAGGATAGAATTTATTAAGACAAATTTATATGACAAATAGGTTTTTGTAGTTAACATTAGATGATAGCCAATAAGAGTATTTTTTGTTTTTAAAAGGAAAAAAATCTTATTTTATTGATAATTCTTAAAATATATATAGATATATATTATAAAAAATAAAATAAAATAAAAAGAGTAGAAAAAAAAGAATAGAAAAAAAGAAAAAATAAAATAAAAGAAAAAAAAGATACAAAAAAAAATAAAAAGAATGTAATGAGGAAGGCAAGAAGCAACCCAAAAATAATGGCAACTTCTTTGTTAATAGGAATCTGGCTATTTGGATCCTTTTTTCTTTTGTTTTTATTTATTTATTATTTTTTGATTTATGTGATGCATTCCAAAGGCTCCAATTCTTATGATGTATTTTTCTTCATAAAAATGTGTAGTTGTAATTGTTTACTCATTTTTATCAAAGTGTTGTGGCTAATCAAAGGTAGCAATGTCATGTTCTTAGGTATCATTGTTGATCTTTTATGAGTAATAAATGTGGTGTCATGGTGGAGATCTTTGTTGTAGTTGATCAGATCCTTGCAGTGAGAGATCTATAAAGTTTATTGGCTATTTCTTAGGTAATGCTAGATAAGCCTAAGTGTATGTGGTGTTGTTGTGAAGATGCATTTTATCTCCAAGCATTAGAGAGTCTTTAGTAGATTGGGATGGTGCAATGCTTTGTAGATGGGTCATCAATAATTCTTATTCCTTTTGAACTGGTTCTAAAATATCTTCTTATTCATTGAGGCATTGCCATTGAAATAATGTTCTTATGAGAAGAAAGATAGTATTCAGATGTGACTAATGTAATGACAATCTACTAGGATTCTCTTTTTCAGTGATTGTGATTTAATTATGGTGACTATGAATCTTAGTTGTTGACTATAAGAAACACATCAAGATATTTGTTCTTTTCTTATTGATGGAGTATAGTGGCAAAGTCTAATGGCTTGCAGTTTAGTGGTGAATGCTAATGTGATATAGTAGAATAATCATATCTTTGAGGCCTTGAGACTAGTACAACTGTAATGGCCCATTTTAGCTACAGCTATTCATACGGTTGTCGATATTTTTTTATTTTTGTTTTTTTGGCTTTAATCTTAGAGGTGTAATGATGTATGGCAATTTTTACTACAATTGTTATTAATTTTTTCTAAGTATTATTGTAGCAATTTGAAACTACTATTGGATAGTTGTTTAGCTTGTAGTGGTCATTCTAGCATGATGCACTAAATAGACTTATAATAGGATGCAAACTTAGTTTTGTTCAATTTGTGTTATTTTGAGTTATTACTCAAATTCTTATTCTTTCTTGTAGTATGCAGCAATAGTAGATGTAATCTATGCAATATTAGTATGGTGCTATAGTGGACCTCAATGAGCTATTATATATTCTTTTAGCACTTCAAGTGAGTGACTCGATATGATAATCATCTAGTCCTAAGAATGGATTGCAAAGCAGTTGAACTCAATAGGATTAATTAGAATTAATTTTGGATTTCAATATAGTTTTTTTCTTAGGCCATACACTTGTCACGGACACAGAATACAGACTTGATATCTACCAAGAAGTTCAAGAAGAACTTGCAAGAACTAGATTAATCAGATGAATACAAGAACAACACCAGAGAGGTGAGCTAGAGCTCCAAGAGATGTGTTGTCGAGACTGAAGAACTCTTCAGCCTCGATTCCAATATATACTCCTATTTAGGAAGCTTCTCAAGAAACTTCTACCAACTAGGAAGCTTCTAGAAGGTTCCAGAGACTTGCTTCTAGAACGTTCAAGAAACTTATCTCTAGAAGGTTCTAAGGACTATGTCCCTAACATCTTCTACTAACTAAGAAGCTTCTAGAAGGTTCTAGAAACTTGTTTCTAGAAAGTTCTAAGGACTATGTCCCTAACATCACCTCCTCCTTTAGCTTCGAGGTCACTGAGAAGCAATGTTGTTGTCAATCAGTACCAATGCAAGAAAATGAAGATCTGTCGCATAACGTCTACTATGAACTCCAACTGTTGTATACGAGGTAAGTGGTTCATCGGCCCTTGAAACCAATGGTAGTGGCCCACTCCTTCAACTTCTGACCAAGCATGAACTTCCGTATCTTCATTGTGAAATTGTCCTATAAATACGCCTTCTGGCTGACCATCGTAAGCAGGCTCGGACTCAAATACAATCACCAGTGATCGGTTACTTGGTATCCTCCGTCGTCGTCGTGGTATAGGTGGTTTTTCATCTCGGGGTCGCCTTCGTGAGCTAGTCGATTGAAATAATCTGACTGGCATAGTATCTATCTCTTGGCTATCCATATCAGAAGACCAAACTATGGCTACTGAAAAAATTCTATTTTATCTTGGAAAAAATAACTACATCAACTACGAATTTTGGTGGTGCTCTCCCCCTTTCTTATATTCTTGGGTGAATAAGCTTCAGAAAGAAGCTATTGTCGAACCGGCTTAGGTTTATGAGGATGTTATTGATGAAACTCCTGTACCTTTTGCGGCGCATTGGTGAGATTTTCAGCTGGCTCCCACGTTCGCTTATTAATGTCGTAGCCGCACTAATGAACAAGATACTCCAACTTGCCCTACCTTCGTCGAAAATCCAATACCTTTTCAACCTCGTATTCCTCGTGGTTCTCGATCTCAATACTAGGTGGCGGACATTGCACTCTTCTAGGAAAAGATGACTCTCGATAAGGCTCCAACAAAGAAACATGAAAGACTGGATGTACCTTCATAGAAGTCAGTAATTCCAGACGGTACGCCACTGGATTGATTTGCTTTTGGATGATAAATGGTCCCAATCTTTGATAGTCCAACTTATCACATTGTCGCTTGGTCTT